CTTTAACAAACAGAAGTTTATTCTCTCACAGTCTAGGAGGCTAGAAGTCTAAATACAGGGTGCCAGCTCTGTGGGAAGCCTTTCTCTCTGTGTTGGCTCTGGGGGAAGGTCCTTGTCATCAATCTTCCCCTGGTCTAGGAGCTTCTCAGCGCAGGGGCTCTGGGTCCAAAGGATGCTGTGCTTTCCCTATGCTTCTTTCTTGGCAGCATGGGATCCCTCTCCTCTGTGCTAGATTCTCTCTTTTATATTTCAAAAGAGATTGACTCAAGATACAACCTAATCCTGTAGATTGAGTCCTGCCTCAATAACATAACTGCCTCTAATCCTGCCTCACTAACATCATAGAGATTAGAATTTACAACACATAGGATAATCACATCAAATCACAAAATGGAGGACAACCACACAATACTGGGAATCCTGGACTAGCCAAGTTGACACACATTTTGTGGGGGGGAACACAATTCAATCCATAACACCTTGGAATAAAGGTCCTCATACTGACGAGTGACCTTCCTGTTTCCTTCTTCCTGTCTCTCCCCTTTCTCTCTCCCTTCCCTCTCAATGCCTTCCCCTTTCTGTGTCTCCCCCTCTCTGTCAGTCCCTCTCTTCTTTCCTCCTTCCCTCCTTCTCTGTCTCCTTCTTGGTATCTTTGCCTCTCTAGTGCCTCTCTGTCTCTCCCTCTTCTTCCTTCCCTTCCCACTGTATCCTCTCTTCTTTCTTTGTCTCAGTCTCCCCCTCCCTCACCTCTCCTCACCCTCTCCGCCTCCCCTCTTCTCTCATTTCCTCTTGCCTCCCACCATCCCCCCACCAACGGTTTCATAAATATGTGTGGAATTTCTTTTAGCAGGTATTGGTTTAGACAACCATGAGGTTATTCTGGGGGGCGGGGTGAAGATGCGATCCAGAAAAATTCAAACTGGCCTCAGAGAAGTCAAGGAGTTGGGGCACATTTGCCAGCATTCACCTTTTTATTCCCTCACAGACTGGTATGAGCTTCTGCTCTGGTTTCAGCCCTGTATTTGGTGCTAGGGGCACCACTGATTCATTCAATCATTCGAACTTCCTTAGTCTTCCCATCACATTTAGAACAAAATGCAAACTCCTTGCCTTGGACAACAAGGGTTGGCATTACCTGGCCTCTGCCCACCTCTCTGCTCTTTCTACCCCAGTCTCCCTTCCTCATACCCCTTGAACCACCCTGGCCTCCTTACCACCCACACGCTCTACCCACACTCTCACCTCAGGGACTTTGCACTTACATGATCTGTGGTAGGGGACTCAAGAAAGTAAGAGGCAATTATGGAATGAAGCCAGTACAGGTGGCTGTTGGAGCTCTGAGGAGGGGCCAAATCTGGGCACCCTTCCTGGAGAAGGCACCTGAGGCTGAGTTTTGGAGAATAAGTAAGGGCTAGCCAGGTCTGGGGGAGATGGGAGTGGATGGGGGCAGTGAGAAAGGCATTGCAGGTAGAGGGAGCCCCAAGTGCGAACACGTAGGGGGCAGGATGCATGGTGCATCCGTTTTGGAATTGCCCAGGTCAGGCGGGGCCCACACTCAATCTGTCTGGGTTCAAATCCTAGCCCTGCTGCCAACGTGCTGTGACACCTTGGGCAGATTACGCTGTCTCTCTGTGCCTCCATTTTCTCATCTGTAGAATGGGGAGGATATTGTGCCAGCTCTATCTTGTTGTTATAAGGACCCCTTACATTAAGACATGTGCAGGACTCAGCACCGTGCCTGGCACACAGTAAGCACCCAGTCACTGTCAGCTCTCCCTCTGGGGAAAGCCCTTGCATGCCAGGCAATGGGGTCCAGCATCACCTTGAAGGAGAGCCTCTGAAGAGGTCAGCAAGGGCAAGCGTGCAGTCAGATTCGCATTTCAGAAAAATCCTCTGGTTGCTGTGTGGGTAGGGTGTGTCGGAGTGGCCTGGGAAGTACACAGAGGTTAAGAAGGCAGGCTCTTCAGACTGTCTGGTACAAATCCCAGCTCTGTCGCTTACTAGCTCTGGAACCTTGGCAGGTAACTTAACTTGGGTGTGTCTCGGTTTCCTCATCTGTCAAGTGGGCATGGCAATAGTACCCACCTTTAGAGTTGCTGAGTATGAATGAGTTAATCCATGGGAATTGCCCAGAACATTGTGAGTACTTAATAACCATCAGACCAGGTAGAATTATTATTATTAACTATAAAGTTGACAGGTGAAAGGAAAGGATGTTGAAACTATCTTTGCTGGGACAAAGAGATCCCAAAGAGGCTGGCTGGGGCGGTCTCCTACCTTGGCAGCCAAGCAGTGCAGGAAGCTTCTGGATGGGTGGAGTTAGGGGATGGTGTGGGCTCCTATCTCCAGGGGGTTAATTCAGTGCTAATCTTGTAACAGGCCAGCCTAACCATCTGAGCTGAGGAAACACTAGTTGCCTGCTTTGTATCCGCACATTAATGGAGCAGCTCACTCTCGCCCGGAACCCAAATTCGCTCAGCAGCTGATAGCGCGTGAGAGAAACTTGAGGCAGGAGAGAGGCTCTAGGAGAGACACAGGACCACTTCCCTGGGTTTTCCACTCTGAGCTTCCCTGCTTAGGGGAGCAATCTTGCCCAGCCTCAAGAGAGGCAAACAGACCTGAGCTCTCACCTTTAATCTCTGTGTGACCTCAGGAGATTTACCAAGCCTCTCTGGGCATCAGTTTTCTCATATAAAGTAGGGATGATGATACTTACCTCTCACAGTTGGTGCATGGGCTGAGTGTATTCATACAAGTAGAGGTCCTCTGGGCCTCACAGAGGGCTCAGCTCTTAATGAATCAAAGTTGTTCTGGAAGTTGTAGTCATTAATAGTGTAGGGGTCCAACAGATCTGGCCTTGCACCCCAGCTTCACCATTCGCTAAAGGACACGGACAATTCACTAAATCGGAAGTGCTCCCTCACTGGTGAGGGATAAGTGAGGTGATGGACTCAGGGGCTTCAGACAGGGCCTGGCACACAGTAGGTACTAAATAAATGGTGGCTGGGACCATTATTAAGTGTGCTCAGGTGGGGACCCTGGAACACCCCTCTCTGAGCCTCAGTTTCCTCATCTGTAAAATGGGGGTGATTTCATGAGATGATATTGGAAAATATTTAATATTACTGGGCAATCGCGACCACGGAGGGAGGGTGATAGTCATCTTTGAGAGTGGCATTAGGCGCATTGGGCTACAAAGACCAGACTGGGAAGAGCATGGAGCCCCTTCCCGGGCTGGGGTGTCTTCAGGGAACCCTGCATTTCCAGTTGGGAGAACTGCATCATGTCCCCTTTTGAATGGCTTTGAGTCCTGATATTTGGTTTATAAAGGGTTGACTATGAAAGGGACACTTTCAACAAGCCATTTATAAAGCATTGATTCATTTACTGAGTATGAATGGAGGGCCCACTATGTGCCGAGATACAGCAGGCAATAAGACAGTTAAAGTCTCTGACCATAAAGAGCTATATTCAAGTGGGGGAGACGACAACCCACAAAAATAACAAACGTATATCAAATAAATAGGACAATAGGAGGTGGTGAGGGCTTTGATGTGGAGAGAGATCAAGGAAGCTATATTAGATACAGGGATGAGCAAATGCCTCTCTGGTGATGTGACATTTAACTCATCTACTTACAAGAAGGAGCAAGACATGAAAATCCGAGGTCAGAGTCCTGCAGATAGAGGAAACGGAAAGTGCAAAGGCCCTGAGACAGGAACAGGCTTGGCATGTTTGAGGACACAGCATTTCAGGGAAGAAGACAAGACACAGCTCCTGAAGATGCACACAGCCAACTACCAAACAGTGGACCATTTTGATAGAGGAGGCATAGTAGCTGGGAGAACACAAAGGAGGAACATCCCACCCAGCCTAAGAGATCAGGGAAAGCTGCCTAGAGGAGGTGACTTCTGATCTGAGACCTAAGTGACAGGTAACAGAAGAGGAGAGGAAGGGTTTCCAGGTAGAGGGAACAGCATGTGTGAAGGTTCAGAGGTGGGGCAGGGCCTGATACCTTCATTAGGGGAATTACAAGAATTTGAATGCAATTGGATCCCAGAGTCGAAATGTTGGAGTGTGGGGAAAGGATCAAGGGTCCCTGACCTTTAGGCAGAAGAGGCAGGACTCACCTCAGCCCAAAGGGTCTGATCACAGAACTGCTGTGCTGAGAAGGGCATTTCAGGGTGGGCAGGAGGGATCAGAGAAGCACCTGGAGGCAGGGAGGCTAGCATGCAGAGGGGGTGAGGGTGAAGCTATGGCCAGCATAAGCAGCAGTTCTGGGGTGGAAAAGGCAAATTCCAGGGACCTTACGAAGGAGAAAGGACTGACTGGGTGACAGCCTGAGGGACAGGGGGTGAGGGGAGGAGATGGAAACCTCAGGGAACTCAGAAGAGCAAATAGCCGAGTGTCTTCTGGCTCGGTGGGTGGTCAAGGGATTTGAAGTCTGACAGACTGAGGCCAAGTCCTGGCTTTTCACCTTCCTAGTTCTGTGAGCAATCTTGTCATCCCGCCTCTGAGCCTCAACTTCCCCATCTGTCCAATGAAAATAGTAAAACCCACGTTGAAGAGCTATTGGGCAGATTGAATATGAAAGTAGAGGAAGGCCCCTAGCACACAGCTGGATGGGATGTTCCTCCTTTGTGTTCTTCTAGCTACTGTGCCTCCTCTATCAAAATATTTCACTGTTTGGTAATTGGCTATGTGTGTCTTCAGGAGCAGTGTCTTGTATTCTTCCCTGATATACTGTGTCCTCAAACATGCCAAGCCAATGTACATGTTGATTCCCTTAATTGACCTTGGCCTTGGCCACCCACTTCACCTCTCTGGGCCTCTGTTTTCTCAACTTTAAAATGGAAACAAGAATACTGTCCTTGTGGTGCTGCTGGCATGAGTTAATGAGATTATTTCCATAGGCTCAGGACACCCCCCACCCAGAGTAGGTGATCACAGATCTCACCATCTTCTCTTTCTTTCTCCCCAGCAGGAACAGTTGCAACAGAATGGCCTGGCAGGGACTGCTGCTGGCTGCTTGCCTCCTGACACTCCCCTCTGCCACGGCAGATTGCCTGTCCCCGTGCTCCTTGTGTGCAGTGAAGACCCAGGATGGGCCCAAGCCCATCAACCCCCTGGTAGGTTTCAGGCAGGGTCCTCGATGCCCTGGTCCTGGGCCAGCAGAGACTGGCCATCTGTGTATGGAGGTCTGGGATGCTGGTGCTTGTCCTCTAGACTCGTCCGATCTGTGCAGGGCTTGTCCTGCCCTGTGGACAGCCTGGGCACCAGGGGCTGCTGTTTCCAGCTCCCACTCCACTTTAGGTCTCCCCACCACGGGTTCACTGAGGTCCATGGAGAGGCTCAGGTTTCCAGGGAGCCTGGTGCCTGGCAACAGGGAGTGTCATTCATTAAGTGGTGCTGACTTTGGGAATGGGCAGTTCAAGATGAACTTTTCAGGGCTTCTCTCCACTGGGCTGATGGGCACCTCCAAGTCCAGTCACTGCCGTGGAAGGTGTTCTCTCCACCCCCTAAATGCCAGTGTCTGGGGGACAGGGTCAAAGCCTTGACTTGTCTCCTGAGTCTTAGCATCTCTTGGCCTGGCCTTGGTTTTACTCTGAGTCACACTCCCCCAGGTGTCTCCCTGTGCAAGAAAGGCGGGAGTCCAAGCACCAAGGGTGTGGTGTACAGACCAGACTTTGGGTCTTCCACTTTTTAGTTCCATGACCCTGGAATCTGCTCTCCGTGCCTCAGTTTCCTCATCTGCAGTATGACAATGATTCCATGAGACAAGGATGGAGAATATTTAATACATGATGCTAGCCACTGTTTACTAAGATGTATACAACCCATCAGGTGCTGTTCATATATATATGACCTCGGGAAATCACAGTGGTTGTGAGAACTCGTGGCATTACACTACCCGGGTGCAAGTTCCAGTATTGTCCCTTATAGGCTCTGCTGGCTGCTGACTTTGGGCAAGTTATTTAACCTCTCTGTGCCTTAGTTCTAGGAGTCCTGGTTGCACAGCAGTTAAGGTCGGCAGTTTGAACCCACCAGCAGCTCCATGGGAGAAAGTTGTGGTAGTCTGCTTCTGTAAAGATTTACAGCCTTGGAAACCCTATGGGGCAATTCTACTCTGCCCTATATGGTCGCTGTGAGTCAGAATTGACTTGATGGCAAAGAGTTTTGGTGCCTTAGTTTACTCTTCTGTAAAATGGGGCTAATGATAGTAACAACCTCATAAGGTTGCTGGGAAGATCAAATGCATCAGTGCACGTGAAGCACTTGGAACAGAGCCTGGCACATTGTCAGGTACTGTATCATCACCACCATCATGATAACTGGATTCTCCTAACACCTCTATGAAGTAGATACTGTTGTCCCCCTCCCCTTGATTTAATGAACCCTCATGTGTCCCCTCACATGTATTATTTCTACCATTCTGCATTGCTTCTGTCCCCCTCTATAAAATGTTGCAGTATCCTTCACACCTGGGAAAGTTAGGGAGAGTGAACCGCTCCTTCTGGGAACAGGAAGTGAGGAGAGGAGGGGTGAGCCTCTCAGAGTACTGTGGGAAGCTCTCACTTCCAATTCTGACATTACCATGTGTAGCCATATGCCCTTGGGAAAACTCTCCAAGCTGGTTTCCTCTTCTTCTCCAGGGGCACAAAATCACCTACCTTTAAGCGTCATTGGGAGCATCAGAGTGGGTAGCCCTGTGCTTAGCAATGGTAGCTGATTTTGATTTTCTCAGACACTGGTCAGTGACTGCCCAGGGTGGGAAGAGTGCATTGTGTTTTGAAGTTTCACGGGGTGACATGACCACTATGTCTTGTTGGGTCTTTTGCAGGTTTGCTCCCTGGAATGCCAGGCCTCCCTGCTGCCCTCTGAGGAGTGGGAGAGATGCCAGGGCTTCCTGTCTGTTTTCACCTCCATCACCCTCGGGCTCAATGGCAAGGGAGACTTGGAGAGCAATGCTGTTTTGGAAGATGCTTACGATGAGCTCGCCAAGCGCTCTGAGCCTTTCCTGAAGAAGCTGGAGAAAAGCAAATTCATCTCAAACACCCCCACAAGGGAGAATTCTCTGAGCCAGAGCCTGGAGGAGAAGCTCAGGGATCTCTCAGGCAGGTTTGAGGAGGGAGCAGAGTCTGAGCTGATGGGAGACACACAGCTGGAAGATGGTATGATGGAAGCTGAGGCACTCGGGTCTGATGAGGAGGACCTCAAGGAACAGGACAAACGCTATGGGGGCTTCTTGCGCAAATACCCCAAGAGGAGCTCAGAGGTGGCTGGGAAGGGGGATGAGGATGGAGATACGGCAGCCCACGAGGACCTGTACAAACGCTACGGGGGCTTCTTGCGGCGCATCCGTCCCAAGCTCAAGTGGGACAACCAGAAGCGCTATGGTGGCTTTCTCCGGCGCCAGTTCAAGGTGGTGACTCGGTCTCAGGAAGATCCCAATGCCTATTCTGGAGAGCTTTTTGATGTGTAAACACCTTCCCCATCATGGAGTTGAGTTGGGAGCTACCCCTGGCACCTTTCCAGATTAGAGTGCATTCATTCATCCTCCTGTATGTGCCCCACCCCCACGCTCAGTCCAGCACTTTCTACAAAACATCCAAACCTAGCCAACTTTTCTTCTGGGGTCAATGATGGAGAAGGAAGGAGGTTTCCCCACCAAACCGTACACTTAGTGCTTGTCTCAGGCTCCTAGACCTCTAAAACTGCCACCATAACCAACTCTTGATGTCAATCCCTCCACCCTGTTCATATGACTTCCCAATTCTTCATAACCTCTAGATCTACGAGCCCCAAGCTTTACCGATCACATGCCTCTGTCAGAAGAAACATGAGCATCCCTCCCAAATCCAGATATATTCATTCAGATATTATATACATGTATCTAAAACATAAGAAAGGTAGAAATGGTAGAATAACAAGATGTTGTGGTTAGATGCTGTTGAGTCGGTACTGATTCATAGTGACCCTGTGTACAAGAGGATGAAACATTGCCAGGTCCTGTGCCATCCCTACAATTGCTGCTATGTTTGAGCCCATTGTTGCAGCCACTTTGTCAATCCATCTCATTGAGGGTCTTCCTCTTTTTCACTGACCCTCTACTTTATCAAGCATGATGTCCTTTTCCAGTGACTGGTCCCTCCTGACAACATATCCAAAGTATGAAGTCTCGCCATCCTTGCTTACAAGGAGCATTCTGGCTATACTTCTTCCAAGACAGATTGTTAGTTCTTCTGCCAGTGTATGGCATATTCAGTATTCTTAACCAACACCATAATTCAAAGGCATCAGTTCTTCTTCCATCTTCCTTATTCATTGTCTAGCTTTAGCATGCATAGGAGGCAATTGAAAATAC